CAGGCTCGTCTCAAACTCCTGACCTCAGGTGATCCACCCACCTCGGCCTCCCAAAGTTCTGGGATTACAGACGTGAACCACTGCACCCAGCCTAGAATGCAAGTCTTTAAATTTACTGTACAATTGCCCTCATTTTTTTCTCTATGTGAATGGAAACTTCTAACTTTCAGACTTGTTTTCCAACTTTTGTGGATTTAAGGTGATTTTTTTCTTTCACATAAATAGAGCCAAAAATATATTACTTTTTTTAATGTACTTGTCACCTTTCCAGGAACTGAATACTTGTTTCTAGAGAGGAAAAAATATAGCTTTCCAAGTTTTCTAGCATGATTATCTACTGCTAAGTTTTCTCTACCTTTTAACTTTCCATGCTACTATTTTTTAAGTTCTGCCTTTTTAAGTTTAGAATTGAAAAACAGTTTTTTTACATTACCTAGCACATGTAATTTTATATCTAAATTGTTTAAATAATATAAAATTCAATTATTAAGAGTATAATTAATAAATTAGCCTAATTTGCCAAAGAGTTTTAGATAATATTGTTTCCTAAGCTTCCAAAATTGAATTGGTAATAGACAACTCCATTCATAGCGGTTGTTTCCCTAACCATTCAGAGATATTTAGTAACCTGCAGAGTCAATCATATATTTTACTTCCCTGTCTCAGTTACCATATCTTTGATTCCCAGTCGGACTTGGTCTCCATTATTTCTGCTCTTCCCACTTTTCTGCTTAACCTACAGAGGCATTATTTAGGATTGGTTCACACTTTAATTTTTCAATTGCAATCATACATTTAAGCATATCCTGTATGTAGTATATTTTGTTAAGGAATGCAGATGTTTTTCAAAATGCATAGAATAGAAATTAGAAGAGTCTGATTAAACTATTCCATAATATGGTGAATAACTGGTTATACTCTGCTTCTAATCTTCCCAGTAATATTTTATACTTTTGCTTGTCAATATTGATCATTAAAAGTTAGAGCCATTATTGCTTAGAATTAAATCTCTAGCATCTGAAGATGTTAACAGACAATTTTTATCTTCTATTTTACCAGGATGGCTTTACTCCTCTAGCTGTGGCGCTCCAGCAAGGACACAACCAGGCAGTGGCCATCCTCCTGGAGAACGACACCAAAGGGAAAGTGAGGCTGCCAGCTCTGCATATTGCTGCTAGGAAAGACGACACCAAATCTGCCGCACTCCTGCTTCAGAATGACCACAATGCTGACGTACAATCCAAGGTAAAAGCTGAACTCTTTGGCTGCCAGATTCCTCCTCGGGGATGATAAAGAAGTGGGCCATGGTGATAATGCAAAATTATTTCTGGTCATAAAAAGAGATAAATGACTTTCAGAGGTATTTCAGAAAGAAGGGGACCCCTAAAATATTAAATGCAAGATAAATTTTTTTAAAGATGAGGTTGAGCTTTTTAGAAATCTGCTTATTCTGTTTATAGTCATAAATAATAGAATTTTTTAAATTGTATTATGTAGTGCTTGGGGACATCTTTCAGTAGAATGCATTTTGGCTTGTTGGACCAGTATACCCAATTGCAGTGAGCAGATTGACTTTCCGTAATTTTGCATTGTGTAATATCTTCCCTCTTTCTCCCAAACTACACTGCTTCAGATGATGGTGAATAGGACAACTGAGGTACAGTATTGTGGTTATACCAAAATTTACCTTTTCTTTATTTATTTTTAGTTTTTGTCCAGTTAGAATAAATGCTCACTAATTCCTACTAATGATTAGAAGTTCCACTGATGGGAAATTAATTTGGAAACGTTTCCCATCATGAAGACAAACTGATAATTCAAAGATATTTAATGTAACATATATTTGAAGCATTATTTTTATCAGTAAAACTATTTAAATAGTTTATTAGAGCATGAAATGAAACTCTTTCTTAACATATATTTTAATAAGTGAGCTTTATTATTAACTTATTGCTGAGAAGAGATATAATTTTATTTCCTTAATGAGAATTCTCAGGTTAGAGTCTTAAGGAAGTGAAAATTTGGGAGGTTTCTTTGGCACTGAGTTTTGTCTTTTTATCTAATTGGAGTTTCTCTTTTTTTTCTGTATGCTCCTTTTCTTTATCACATTGTAAATAATCAGTGATGATATTGAGCATATCAAGAACAAACTAATTAATTTTTCCTGTAAGTCTTAAAATATTTGTATAGGATCGTATATTTTCCACATTCCAAAATAAGTCACATCAATCAATGAGAACATTAAGTTCAGAAGCCTCTCAGTGTGGTGTGTTTGTATATGTATGTATTTAGTAGTCTCTCCTCGGCCATTGCTACAGAGAGATACTAACACAAACATTGTTGAAGTATGTTACACAAATTAACCTCTACTCCAAGACAAGTGACTATTTATTCAGGTCTATTATTGCTTTGCTGAGGGGATTCTTTAGACTATCATCTTCTTTGATGACTAGGTTGTAGACCTCTGAGCATTATCACAGAGTATACTTGAATTATTTGTGTTATTTCTTTTGTTCTATATCTTTGCGTGGAACTTAGGTCAGAAACAACAACAAAAAGCCCAGCTGCTTGGAACTTGTTCACAATCGGAACCATACAATTTGATATCTTAATAACTGGTTTTAATACCTTTAATTTCTTAGATGCTTTTTGATAATTATTTAAGATACATTTTTGAAAGCAATATTGGCTGTAAACACTGTGAATGCAGGAGTTTAGGCGGATTTTTACTGAGTTATACATATTTCCTTGAAGACAATAGAGTAAAAAGAAGAGAAACGCCTTCATCTAATCCTCTAGAAATGTGGACTGTACCTCCTACCTCCATGTTAATCAGGGAAGAGTTCCTCTGAAGGACTGATACCAGTTTTGTGCTGATCCAAGATTCACAGCCTGGGTATCATTATGAATGATCAGTGAGGCTGCATTAGACAATTAGGTAGTTTATTTTTACAAATGATATTACTATATTTAAATACTTAGAAAATGATTCACTCAGAAGTCAATGTGTTTTTCTGAAACTAAATTGTAACATCAATAATAGACATACACTCAGAATATGTCTGTATGACAGGAAATATCAAGATAAAAATAAAACAAATTTAGTCAATTATTTCCTAAAATGTAAAAATTTGACATTTTGAAAAATAACAGCCAGATTGAGGACTGATTTTTCTCTCCATTTTGACATGAATATTGATATGATGTAAATGTAAAATAAAAATTTCTTGACCACAGTTAGGGTATTTGGATTAATAATTACTGTTCTTATTTTGTGTCTTGCTTCTCTCTAACTAAGAAATCATTTGTAGCTAATGTTGCTATGGAAATAGCACAAATTTTCATTACCTAAGGTATTTGAATGCTTATTTAGGGTGTTTTTAAAACAAAGTCACCAAAGCCTATGTATCTACTCAATAGAAATAAATGATTGTAATTTTGAAAATATTTCTTAAAAACAATACAGTAAACATCATAGTTCATTTCAAGTAAAAGAGAGCAGTATCAAGTAACCCCAAAACTGCAGAATAACTGTTTCTATTTTTCCCATAATCTTTTGTTAAGTGGTGAAAATTATGGAGAGTAAGAAAAATTATCAGATCTTTTTGTGCTTTAATGAGTTTATATGCTTCAAAAGAAAAGAGTTAATATGCTCCTATTGTGAAAATAGCAACAATTTTCAACTAGATTTTCATTAGAAAAAGAAAGAAAAGGGACTTTTTTTTTCATTTGATATTTTCAGAATTATTAATTTTGAGAGTAAACAGTTCTGTAATGCCCATGTAGGTGATTTAACCTGGTTGGTTAAAGTACATTTTATTGTATTGGTAAAATTTAATTCACATTCAAAATTGGGGTGAGCTGAACTTTTTCTTTCTTTTATGTTCCTATTGATACCAAGTATATTGTTTAATTTTTGTTTTTTAGTTATTTTATCATGATAACAACATAATCTTACTACACAGTTGTAAAATGGTATAGGAATATCAAGACAGTGTAAATGACGTGGAACAAATTCTATATCCTCTGTAAGAATGTTTCAACATATTTCTATGGTTCCAAAATTATAATGCCAACCAATACTGCTTTTTTAAAACAAAAATAAAACAAAAACACTGGTTTTGAATCTTTCTCTGAAAAGATATTTTAAAAATTTTATTGATACATTAATTCTATGGCTGAAACCTTGTGTTGTTTAATCATATTCTGATTTTAATATGCAAAACAAACTTAAGAAACATTGTGCATAAACAACAAATCTCATAAATAGATAAATATTTAAGGTAACTAAAAATAGTGTTGCCAATGAATATAGGATATTTATTTACCTCTTTATATATTTAGTTATGTACCACCTTATAACATTAAGATTTAAGATCTTACTAAAGCATTTATTATTGCTCATATATTAGGCAGACAGTTAGTTACCATGTGACTTTCTTCACTAATACAATGGCTGCAACAAAGATAAGTGAAGCGCTATACTGACTATCATATCTTTGCTTTCATAGAGTGGTTTTACCCCTTTGCACATAGCTGCACACTATGGAAATGTCAACGTGGCAACTCTTCTTCTAAACCGGGGAGCTGCTGTGGACTTCACAGCCAGGGTATGGATTAAAATAGTTTCTCATTCTAGATAGCAGTAAGTAAGTATTTTAACAAAGAGAAAAAACAAGACACCAATGCCTTTCTTAAAGATTTTATTTCTTTTTCCTTACCTGTGCTGGATATATTAGATTTTCCATTTTTTTTCCTTTAAATCACATGAAGTCATCTTGGCTTAAGCAGAAAATAAGAATGTTGTAAACTCATGCACAAATCATTTCCAATAGTTAGGGAGGACATTAATTCTGACCAGTGTGAATAGTTATATTTAACAATCATGCCATGAATCCTGATAAGTCATGTTAATAAATAGTTAAACGGTTAAAATGTTAAGTATAAAATATAGAAGTAGCATGTCTTGTGATGATTGTAGGGCACACAATTTGATAGGGAATTGTTTTCAATGAATTGAGAGTTTGTTCATATGAAGTCTTACTAAAATACATAAAAGGTGACATGTTGTTACATGTTTCATGGTATGCTTTTATTAGAAAGAATTCACTTACATGATAATTGCAGTAAATCAGTATAGTTAATATACAGTTAATGCAGAATATAAATATTCAAAATTATGACACAAAAAAATCAGGTACATATTTTTGCCATAATGACATGTGATAGCCAATAAAATAAGTAAATATAATTTGTATGCATAATATTTTTGTACTAAGAAGTCATCTGCACTGTAACTATGTTGTGTTATTTTCAAGCTGTTTTCTTACTGAATTATTCTGAAGGAGATGTTTGTTGTTGTTGTTGTTGTTTAGAGACAGGGTCTGGCTCTGTTGCCCAGGGTGGAGTGCAGGGGCACGATCATGGCTCACTGAAGCCTTGAACCCATAGGCTCAAATAATCCTCCTGACTCAGCCTCCTGAGTAGCTAGAGCTATAGGCATACACTACTATACCTGGCTAATTAAAAAAAAATTCTTTTTGTAGCAATGATGTCTTATTATGTTGCCCTGGCTGGTCTCAAACTCCTGGCTTCAAGTAATCCTCCCACCTCAGCTTCCCAAAGTGCTGGGATTACAGGCATGAGCCACCATGCCCAACTTGAAGGAGATATTTTTAAGAATCATTTTTATATTGGATATTAATATAAACATTTGTATCCTATTTTTAAGCATCATAAAACTTAGGATTCCAGACTCTTTAAGCACATGGATGTTATAGAAAAACTTTACACTAGGGCTCTATCTTAGGTAGATTTTAATTTGTTGTTTCTATTACAATAAAGTGTTCCCTTTGTCTCTTGACTGTAGCATGTACATTCAGCGCATATTTTGTAGTTATTGACTAACTTAGTTATGCAGTTTCATTCCATTTTTCATTCTCTAATTGTTTTGTGGTTCATGTGTTTTCTTGTTCCTTAAAAACAAAGTCATAGAAAGAGTAGAAACTGTGGATCAAATTACCACATAGGTCACAACCTCCTTTGTGGCCTTTAACACAAAGGCATCACCATTATGCCCTATCATACCCAACAGCTCTTGTTTGGTCTTTCTGTGATATAGAATGGAATCACTCCTCTGCATGTGGCTTCCAAAAGGGGAAATACAAACATGGTGAAGCTCTTACTGGATCGAGGCGGTCAGATCGATGCCAAAACTAGGGTGAGTATCTCTGTTCTTTCAATTTTCTACCACTATTATTTCTTTCAATCCTCATAGAACGCACCTCAAGACACCAGGTCATAAGCATAGTCATTGTGTTTTCAAGGAAATTGCTTTTTTGGAATTGATTTAACTCTCATGCAGTATTTAAAGGGTTCATGTCATAAAGTAAATTAATATTTGCTCATAAGTTCCCAGAGAAGCAAAATGTTGGCCCCTCAGTGAGCTAGTTTTTCAAGTTTTTGCTTATTGATTTTCTAGAAACAAAGATCAAAGACTGGGCTTACACAACTTGGTTTGGGGTAGTTATAAGTATCAGGTACCTGAACTAATTACCTTACATTAAGCTTGAGAATGTGGCTTTTACATAAAATATTTTAATACATGTTTACAATCTTTTGAATGTAACTATTCAATTCCTAATTCATTTTTCTTAAATGGCTATGCTATACTGACCTGCGCAGGGGATTTGCTATTATGTAGAAAAGCATACAGTTAGTATGCTAGACCTTTATTTATGTTATTTTGGTAGAAGTGCTATCCTTCATTTGTTTCAAACTTAAGTAAAATATCATTTCAAGTTTGCAATACACTGCAAATAGATAATAAGATAGGCAGTAGAGTACAGTTGTTGAAAGTACAGAATGAGGGCTAACTGCCTGATTTCAAATTCTACCTTTTACTATTAATAAGTTATATTACATTGACAGTTTACTTACCTTCTCTGAACTTACGCTAATAATACCGTTACCTCATAAAGTTGTGTAAGAATTAACTCTTAGCTATATTATTTACCTTTTTTTGGAAAAGTGGAGTAAATTACATAGCTCTTTTTGATATTTGATAATATTACTGACATTATACAATATATAATTAATTGCTTAAACATATAAGGAGTATTTCAATATTAATTCTCTGGAGTAGATTTTGTTAATCACAGACTTCAACAAACTTCAAATATGCCTATAATCCAAAAATGTTAATATGTGGTGTAATAAGTCCTTGTTAATATGTGGTGTAAAAAGTCTATCAAAGATGGGAAATAGAATATGTCTCTTATAGTATTTAACTTCAATTTATTTAGTTCTGAGACTTCATGTTTTTATAGTCTCAGCAGTAAAGATCAAATCCAGTTTCCTTGTAAATCTGAAGACTAGCAAACACTTTTGTTTAATAAACTTTGTCATCTGTAAGCTTCCAGGATCTATACCAGTCCCAGACTATAAATTATCATTTTTAATGACCTCAGGAAACTTTGCTTTCTTAATCTCATTTCTCTAAAGCTTTTGGTCCAGAATGGCTACATCACCTCACCTAGGAGAGGTTTGCATTCTGTCAAATCTTAGTTGTGATGTCCATTGTCTTTTGCATCAGAGTTTTATGTGGTATCTACTTTTTGCTTAGTAGGCATGACTATTTCTTTACCATACTGTGAGTATACAGAATTTGGAACAGTATGCGTTATGTTGCATGGTTTGCTTACCTGTTTTTTATATGTAAAGGAATGAGTTTTTGCACATTACTATAGCATCATTGCTAACATCACCAATGCTAGTGTAATTTCTTCCTATATGCTGCCTTTATGAGATTACTACTGGAAAGAAAGCATTTTGGAAATGCAAAAAATTTTTATCTTGGCCAATGTCTTAGGGATGCACATTGCTTTTATTAATGCTTTTTGGAGTATTCATTCATTATTGAAGCAGTTGATTTTGTTCTTATTAGTCACCACAATAATTACTTAATAAAAGTACTCTAATTTGTGTGGCTTACAGACATTTGGGTATAAAATTAAAAAGTCTAGCTCCAAATAGGCAGTGTATCTTCATAAAAAGAGTACTAAGAAATGAAGAGTAATGGATTCTTATACTAGTTCTGTGATTAACTAATTATCCTTGAGCAAGTTAACAATCAAATGTAAGCCCTGGTTTCTTTTATGAAGGGAATATTTGGGACATATTTTATATAGTGCAGCCTTTAGATACAGCAAATAAATTTCATTCAAGGATTTAAAAAGAATACAATAGGTTTTTTAATTATATACACTATATAAACATTCCATTCATTTATTCCTTAAATAAATAACTATTGAGTTACTGCTTGGTGCCGTGAACCCTGAAGATAACAACAGTTAACAAGACGGACTAGGTCTCTAGACTCACAGAGATGCAAGTCAACAGTTCAAGAAAATAAGAGTCTTCTGATAAAAGTTTAATAATAGGTTCTTTTTTTAAAAAAATCCTTGATTTGTAGCATTGTCTTTGCTGATTTCCATGGTATAAATCTTTCTACAGTGGTCAGCTTAGAGTTAGCCACATGGCATCACTAAATGCAGAATTGGGAAGAGGTGTGCAAAAACTGGCTCTCCTTACTTCATATGAGCTGGTTCCAGCATACCCCAGGATTAGGTACAATATTCAATGGTTGCACTGAACTTTTTTAGCACTAAACTTTCCCCCATAAGTTGAAATACTTCTTCCTCTGTAAGCAGGAGGATTTAAAAAGCATTGCTAAGTTCTTTTCATTCTGGCTACAGCTGACAAACTTATATCCCAAATGCAAAATAAAGTAGGAGGTAAATACTGAAATCAAGGACTGTGTGCTGAACTTGGGAGGCCAATTGTGGAACTATAATATTTGATTACTGAAATAAATGAATATATTTTGCTTTTCCTTTTGCCTTTTGAAAATAGAAATATGTTTGCATGGAAAATAGAAAATAGGAAAACGTTTGTATTAGTTCTCATGCTGCTATGAGGAATTGCCCAAGACTGGGTAATTTATGAAGGAAAGAAGTTTAATTGACTCACAGTTTTGCAGGTCTGGGAGGCCTCAGGAAACTTACAATCATGACAGAAGGGGAAGCAAACATGTCCTTCTTCACATGGTGACAGGGGAGATAAATGAGTGCCCAGTGAAGGGGGACACTCCTTATAAAACCATCAGCTCTCATGAGAACTAACTCACTATCACAAGAATAGCATGGGGGTATCTGCCCCCATTATTCAATTACCTCCCTCTGGGTCCCTCCCATGACACATGGGGATTATGGGAACTAGAATTCAAGATGAGATTTCAGTGGGGACACAGCCAAACCATATCACTGTTTAATTTGTTTTTGACTACACTTTTAGATAATATAATAGAGTTTCCATATATGGAATGCTTTTAAAGTATTATGCTTTCATGTTTTTGTCATTGACATCTCAATTTCCCACAGCATTTAAATTAACCATAAATATTCTGAATTTAGTATATTCTGTCAAGGATTTTCCTTTGATCTTATTGTTTTTCTTATTCATAAGGTTTTTATTATCTAGAGAATAGCAAGATCTATAGAGGCTTTTAGATAATTAAAATATAACAAACAAACAAATCTTACCCACAGTTACTTCTTTGCTCTCACCACTATGTTGGCAATCATTGAGACATTTTCTATCTTGTTGGCATTCTCATCATTGACAACTATCTAATATGAAACTCTAAGACATTTACACCAGAGCCTTTTTCTGGTATCTGAAAGGCCTCATTTCAATGTGAAAACATAAATTTTGTAGCTAGCTAAAATAAAATTATAAATTTAGTCTTTATTAAGGGCATTTTTTAAGCTTATTTATTATTTAAATGTAGAGATACCCATATAAGGATTATGTTTAAAATATTAAAAAACATATTTCAATGCAAACAATAAAAGGTAGGCAAAAACATTAAAGGATAATGAACAAAAAGCAACACATAGTGAAAAGGAGTCACCCTTGCTACTTGTTATTAGGTGTAATAATTAAAGCAATAACAATAATGGTTGTCAGTTGCCATATGCATATGTTGTTCTAGGCACCCTGCTATGTACTCTACAAATACCATCTTATTTTGTCTTTCTAACAGCTTATGAAGTGTGTATCATTTTCTTGTTGAAAATATATAGAGGACTTCATTTAAGAAATGAGACTACCAAAGGGAAAAATGAGTTTCAATGGAGTTATGTAACTTGACCTAGGACACACAACTTGGCAATCAGCAGAGCCTACCCATGTGAATATATAAACCTTAGGATACATTGTTGGAAGAATGACCTAAGCAGAGAGTCAGGGGAAATATGAAAAGATAAACTAGATAAGTGGCATCCCTACAATATTGGTTAATCTTCCTTTATCAAAGTTATCCACATCATGGTGTATAGTACATCAGTGTGATTGATTCTAGAGAAAACAAACAAGCAAACAAAAAATGGAGACAACACAAAGCGTCTCTGGAAGAAGGAAAATCCCATAACCTGCAACTACAAACTTAGGAATATAAGTAAAAAGATTTTGGAATACACAACCTTGAAAAGAATTTTTTTTTGGCATTAACTTGATAATGTGCTTTGTTGAAAATATTCAAAATCTAATAAAATTGATCCTGTTGGATAACTTGAATTTGATGTCATTATTGACACATCTTATAAGGACAGACACCTTGCATCATTAAATGTAGTATTTAGAACTAATTTAATCCATATTGTTCTTACACGTTCTTGTGGGTGTATTAAGTGTTCTCCATAAAGCTCCTATTACTACTCTGAAAGTATTTTGGAGGTTTCAACATGATTACACAAAGACTATTTCATGTAATTTGCAGAAAGCAATACATTACCTTTTCTAAAAAAGATGTGAGGCAGCATTCCCTCCTTCATTTTTCAAACAAGACTTGAAAGTTAAATAGGATAAGAGACTTCATCTCCACTCTATATATCGTGAAGTTGAGCCTTAGGGAGATTCACCCATAGTTGCTGATTTGAGATTCACTGCAGGAATCCATGGCTCCAAAGTCCATACACTGAACCATTGAATATGATGCCTGTGTTCACCATGTGGGATTTCTCAAACCTTAGATCTCCACAAAGCCCCCACCAAGAATATGTTTGAGAAACCATGCTATATCTATTGTTATGTCACTTACGTAGTAACTAATGCTCTAGTTCCACAACAGGGTGCTGTTATCAGGATTCAAAAGTGTAATCATTGTCATCATTTTACCAGCATAACTCTTAGCCTCCTGTCTGGCAAACTTTAAAATAACGTAATATCCCAACTGCAGTAAATACTTTTTTTATGAGAAGGGAATCTTTTCAGGCTAATTCTTAGGTACCCAAAACTTCAAAATCTGTTTTGGTTATTCAATATCTTCCTAGTGGCTAAATGGATTTCACAAAGCAAGGAATCATTATCAGTCAAGGTCCTAGCCAAAAGCAGAGGCCCAAATTCGATCATTTTATTAGACATTATTGAAGGGTCTATTTATAATATTGTGTAGTCTGTTGGAAAGGGATAAGGGACAGTGTAGAATCCTAGGGGCTAGTAACAGCGGGACTCAATACCTCTGCTCGACCTAAAAAGCGAGAAGTAGAAGAGGCTCCCAGAACTTCAGAGGAGAGAATTGTGTGGCAAGGCTGCTTTGGCAGGAGAGTAAACTTTGGTCAAGACACACAGCCAGATTTAGGAGATCCCTTGAAGTTCCTTTCATGTCTTGCTGCATTGGCTAAGCCCAACTGGAAGCCAGAGGACAAGGCAGCTCACTGATGTCCCTTAGAGCAGCCAGTCTGTTGGGACACAAAGCAGAGTGGAGAAGGGTAGTGCATGGGTCTGGAGGGGCAAGCAGAAGCCACCTAGCATAGAAATCCCAGCGTTGAGTCAGAAAGAGTGTTGCAATTCAGAGAAATTATTTTTATTTGGAGTAAAGCATAGCCTGGAGAGATGGTCCTGGAAGTAGAGACACAAACGAGAGGCCATTTGAGTTCTGGATAAATCAGAAACTGCTGAAATCCTCTTAACTACTCATTATCCATTCTCTGTGATTTCCCCACCTTCTCCACCTCTATCCTTGGGACAATCTTTTTTTCTTTTTCCTTCAGCCTCAAATTACCAGTAAATTTATATGCTCAGTATTTCATTTTCTCTCTCACTTCTTGACCACCGTTACTTACATTTTGCCTCTCATTTCCCACCTGCTCTGCTTTTTGGCCATGCCACCCTAAAGAGAAATAAAATGTAAAAGACAGCGAGCACTTGGGAATTGCTCTGGAATAAGAGGCTATCTTAGAAGTGTTAAGGTCGGAAAGTTTTATAAATAATGTAGCATATAGTTCTGCCATATTTTATTTAATAAAGTTAGAGTTCTAGTTATTAATAATAAAGTTCATCTTTGGGAATCAATTATGTGATTTTCAAAATGTTGAAATATATTTGTGAAAACATTTAAAATAGCCTAAGAAATGACTCTTCCTTTTTACAAGCATTAGGAGGCATTTTAGGAGAATTTATGAAAGTGGTGACAATTCAAAGGAAAACATATTAAAAAAATACACTAAGAAAAAGTTTTAGGTCAAAGTGTATTAGAACAAACAAAATGAAAACAGTATAACCTAATGTAATCCCTGTTTTGGGTTCTAGTGAGTAGAGCTTTAAAGTTCAACAAATGGCACGTGCTCTGCTTTTCCATCTTCTTGAATGTGCAAACACATGACCAGAAGCCCATTTCATTCCATTGACCCTCCACACAGGGGATACCTCTTGCTTTCTCCCTGTCTCTGTATTGTTTGTCTTTCTCTTTCTCTCTCTTGCTGTCTGTCAAGATCTATTTCTGACTTGTTTTCTCTTTCACTCATCTTCTTTCTGGTCATTTAACAAATTGCAATTCTGTTATTGATTTATTGAGTGATCAGGACTGAGTTTAGGGAACTCCCTCTTTATGGTTACAACAGATGCAATGTAGATTTTTTTTTTTAAGGGAACTGGGGCTCAATTCTTTAATTCTTTTTGCAGGATGGGCTAACACCACTTCACTGTGCGGCACGAAGTGGGCATGACCAAGTGGTGGAACTTCTGTTGGAACGGGGTGCTCCCTTGCTGGCAAGGACTAAGGTGAGTCATTATCAGTAAAATAGGATCCTAAGGAATTTTTAAGTCACTTTTTAAATTATCTCTATTCTTTTTAAATAGAAGCATCAGCCAAGCATTTTCTACTTATTTAATAATCGTGTGCTAGGAATAGGAATATATATCAAACTGTTTAAAAGTTATTAAAATAAACAGATATATGCATCGAGATGTATTGAATGTGTGCCTTCAGGGTTTTTTTTCTATATTTTTACCTGTTATTCTTACTGCAGATGAAAATTTGAATACATCTGTATTTTAATTATAAATGAGAATATCTCTTAGATTCTGAGTCTAGGTTTTTATGATCCTCTCAGATAACTATGAAATATATATAAAATTATCTTTTAAAACATCACAATTAGCAACATGAGTTGAATCTTTTTGCTTATCCAATCTTTATCTCATAGGCAATGATAATAAAAAATAATTTCTCAACAGTGGTATTGGCTGATTATATTGAAGATTAGTAGAGGTGATTTGGAAAGCACAAGTTCAATAGGCCACCTACAAAGAGCTATTAGAAAGCATACTTTCTTTATGACATAGTACATCTATTTTTTAAAATGTCCTTCCTGTAAAATCAAGTATCATTCATATGGAAGGATCCTGTATAAAGTGTCTCTGAGTGTACAGTTATATTCATGTATTCATGCATCCAACTATTACGTAATGTTAAGATACATAGATACAATTTGCCAGGCAAGTGTTCTAGTCACTAAGGCACCATCAAGATGAATAATACACAATCTATAGTTGCAACAAGGTCAGAATTTAGTGTGCATGACAGAAGGGAGATAATTATAAAAATTAGAGATATGTACAGGGTAAGAAACACAGAGAAGATGAACTAATCAGGTTAGAGTGAGGGGATACTGCTCTCTTGGGAGTGGAATAGGTGCCTAATGCTAGACCATTCCCCTCCCCTTCTGTATTAGTCCGTTTCACGCTGCTGACAAAGACATACTTGAGACTGGGCAGTTTACAAAAAAGGAGGTTTAATGGACTCACAGTTCCTCTTGGGGAGGAACTCACAATCATGAGGCTGGGGAGGCCTCACAATCATGGTGGAATGTGAAAGGCACATGTCACATGGCAGCAGACAAGAGAAGAGAATGAGAACCAAGCGAAAGGGGTTTCCCCTTATAAAACCATCAGATCTTGTGAGACTTATTCACTACCACGACAACAGTATGGGGGAAACTACCCCCATGGTTCAGTTATCTCCCACTGAGTGCCTCCCACAACAGAAGGGAATTATGGGAGCTATAATTCTCAGGCCAAATACCTCATGTCATGTTGGACTCTTCTTTTTCTCACTTTTCACATTCTGTCGCCAAACAGTGTCACCTCTTCCTTCAAAATGTATCATTAAGTCAGCAGCTTGCCAACAATCTCATTACCACCACTCTGGTCCAGGTCACAATCAACTCTACCTGGAGGACTGCAAGAGCCTCCTAATTGACTTCCTTCTTTTGCATTTTGCCTGTATAGTCTATTCTCAGCACAGCAGCAAGAGTAATCCTGTTGCCCTAAACCTTCCAACAGCACACCGTCTCTCTGACTAAAAATCAAACCTGCATGGTCTGTTACCACTCTGAATTCCTCCCCTCATCCAGCAACCTCATTCACTCGCCTTAAGCCACATTCTTCTCCTTACTGAGTATCGATATTGATCATGCCAGGTATAATACCAACACAATATGTTTGCACTTGCTTTTTCTCTGCCTCAAGTGTTTTTTCCCCCAAATCAACAAGACTAGCTCTCTTACTTCCATCATGCCAAAACTCACCTTCTCAGTGAGGCCGTTTCTGGACATCCTATCAAAATTGCACCCATGTACATAAACTCCCTTGGCCGTTCTGTGCTTTAGTTTTCTGCTTTCCATTGGCGGCCATTTAACATACTGTATAGTTTATCTTACTATTTTTAAATTGTATGCCTGTCTTCTATACTAGAATGTAAACTCAGTGAGGATGGGGGTTTCCTGTCTGTTGTGTTCTGTTCTGTATTCACAGTACTTGAAAAGGGCCTGAGTAGGTGCAAAGTAAATATGTGTAAAAACCAACACAGGCAACAGAGCAAGATCCCAACTCTACAAAAAAACAAAAAACAAAATTATAAAAAATAGAAAAACAAAAATCTAGGAAAAAGACCCAAATGAACAGAAGAGTAAATGATAAATATCTTATTTTTCACATAAATAACCTTCAAATAGGTAAAACAGCATCAATGAATGATAATTTTAAAAAGAAACATACAACGCTCTAGTCCAAACATCATCAAGGCTTGAATTTCTTCTACATTTTGCCCTTGACAATTATCTTCCCCTCATTGCATAAACACCCTCTCATCAGTCTGTTCCTCCCTTCTAAACTTATTTAATGAACTTCTAAATATGAAAGCAATAGTTATGAATGAAGATTATTTCAAAATATATAATTTGTGAGTCACATATACTCTACCACTCATCATCTACCACAATTAAGAATTAATGTATTTGTTTTTGCGGCCCCTCACTGTTGAAATCACTTTTCTTTTTGAGAATATTGCGCTGGAGGCCTTTTCTGGCTTCTTATCCGATGCAATTTCTGCTTTGTTGAATGTAATGGCTGCCAGACTGGATACTTGGCCAACAATCCTTTTTCTAGTGGCCATATTTGTGTTGGTTATTAAGAAATCCCATCTCTTTAATAGGCACATTTTTTTTAATTTAGTTTTTTCCTAAGTTTACATATTGTTTCCTGAAAGTTTGTTTAGCTTTTTAAAAATGACAGTCTTACCTAATCTGATGAACAGTGCATTACCCTGCTATCGTGTGTTCCTGCTGTTGACTTCATTTTAGAATTAAGGCTAACACTGTTTTGGTCCATATCAATGATGGGAAATTTGGATAAAATGAGGATAGATTATCCTCAGATTTAAAAGTTGTGAGGCCATCAGCACATGGCCTACATTCGCTCACACTCTTCTAGCTCTTACCTACCTGTTTTCTCGAAGTCCAATTCAAGTATCCTTATACTATAGGAAAAAGGAATTGTAAAATTTCACAGCAACATGGATCTAAAAGATGATCAAAATTTCCTTACTCACCCATTTCCCTCTGTATTTATAAGAAATGCAGGCAGAGAGATTAAATGAATGTAAACTGCTATGCATGAAGTTGGATACAAATAACTTAAGCATCAGCTGTTATCTACTTTTCTGTATTTAATATTGTCCTAATAACTGTAAAATCAAGCTAAATTACCACACATACCATTCATGACAGACATACTAATTTGTCTTTTTGTCTGTGGTAGCATAATTATGAAATTAAATATTCTGTTAGTGCCCCTTTCCTCCAAATATAGTCTGCTGTATATTCTGATGTCAAATGGAAATTATTTTTTCCCCTGCCACTAACTGTGTTAGAGATCATCAATCAACTTTGCTGTATTTTGGAATTTGAAAATAATGAAAAAAAATTGATGTTATTTTGTTTTGTTTTTATGTGCAGAATGGGTTGTCTCCACTACACATGGCCGCCCAGGGAGACCACGTGGAATGTGTGAAGCACCTGTTGCAGCACAAGGCGCCTGTTGATGATGTTACCCTAGACTACCTGACAGCCCTCCACGTTGCTGCACACTGTGGCCACTACCGTGTAACCAAACTCCTTTTGGACAAGAGAGCCAATCCGAACGCCAGAGCCCTGGTAAACTTGGCCCAGTCCACATTAACTGAATACGGATTGAGACAAGCAAACCCAGATTCATTGAGCAACATGCATATACCAGCAATGCATGGTTACAGATATGTAGTTAATTCTGCTAAATTTGTCAGCCTTCACAATCAGCCTGTCTACTTTACACCTTCATAGTTTGCTAGCGTATGCTGGTGTGCAAAGATGTATTTAAGGGAACACCAGTGTAACATTTCTGAAACAAGTGAGTTCCAGGCAAATCGATATGAAACCTTTGGAGTGATAAGCAGTTTTAAATGGAAAATAGAAGTTGAAAAATAGGAAATCACAAAATAAATTCTAGATACCTTTGGATAAAGTTAAAACACGAGTGTCAAAAGTTGAATTTATTAATCTCTTTTTGGAAAAAAATAATGGTGAATACATTTGACTATGTAAGAGAGTATAAAATGTAAGCCTATCAAGAGTTCACTTGAAAATTTTTCTTATTGGCTTGATTTCTCAACCACTGGCTAATAGAAAAGTTATGCCTAGTATGTTACTGCTTCAGGAATCATTTTATATATACCATTTCAGGAATTGCCCAAGAGAAAATTCCAAGAGGCTGTTTCTAGACCAGCTTTATGTCTCCCCAGTTCTAATAGTGAATAAATCTTCCTTGCTTCACTTATTTTCTAACAATAATCATTGGAAGTATTAGACATGTACTAATTTATGCCTCTTGTTTCCTAATTCTCAAACTAAAAGTAAATCCTTTTTTCTATGTGTTTACATGGTTTGTGTCAGTTAAAATTGGTCTTCAGACAATCAGTATTTAAGCTGAGAGACCATTATAGAAATCGTCAAATACTAAATATGATTTCTATGAAATTTTTTTCCATTGGAATCAATTTATTGATAATTATATGGGAAGTGAATGTATTTTCTGGTTTACATATAATTATGTGAAAATATTTCTTTTCCCTAGGGAGTCAAAAACATTAATTTTCAATTGGATAGTGGTCAAAAAGCTTATAAAATATCACAGCCTGTTAATTGCAAATATTTTAAGTGCTGCATGTGCATGTGGCTATTTATATCCGGCATGTTGTATAGCTCATACACAGGGGAAATGACTTAACCAATTAATTATGTTTGTCACTCTATTGTGAAAAATAAGAAGAAGTCATCAGCTTAAGTAAGACCATATGCTTTCCTGAGAACTGCTAGTTTGTAAAAACGTTGATTGATGATTGGTCCATGTTGGGACATACAAAACTGTTAGCTGGCATAATAGACATAACAAAGAAACAATCTTGAAATAAAAAAAATATATGTAATATACAACAAGTAAGCATGTGGCCAGCTAACATATTTTTCTTAATTTGCCCCCAATTCCTGTGCATTAGCTTAGTTCACCAAGTTAGAAAGTACCTGACAAACTTCTCCACATTTCTTTACCCCTAGAGCCACCTCCTTGCAGTTATCCCAGAAATTCTCCCTACATTTCTGGAAACTATTCAGGAACGTAACAGTCATTTCTTTATACAATAAAATTTATTTGATTGGCATATATGTTATAAAAATGATATAAAAACATATCTTCTCTATATAAAAATGATCAACATAATGATATCTGCAGACTTGAAATAGCCCTTTATAAAGAAAATAGTAGCAAAGTTGAAATATTTCCCCAAAGGCAATATATTCTTAGATTTTTAAGTAGATGAATAATTCTTATGCTCTGGGAAATGGCCCTTCAGAAGAATATGTGCTTGTCTTCAATTCAAGTAATTTCATAACCTGGACAATCAATATACCTTAAAACATTTTAGAACTTCTAAAACATAATTGCTTGTCTATTTTTCTTTCTTTAAAGAGGAGGAGGACCATGTATTTTTCTTCACTTTTGTTTTCTCTGTGACCACACAAACAGAATTATGTACAGGCCCACCACACATAAGCAAAGTTCAGTGCCTGTAGGAACACATCACCATTTTTCTTTCCAAATTCCAGCATCTACAGGGAATCGAAGAAATGGTAACATTATGTGACGATGTAACATTATTGCCTGCAATGTGCCAGCATGGAGTTGTGTGAGAATTGTTTCTGCATGTTTTCAACTAACTTGATTGTCTTTTGCGCAGAATGGTTTTACTCCACTGCACATTGCCTGCAAGAAAAACCGCATCAAAGTCATGGAACTGCTGGTGAAATATGGGGCTTCAATCCAAGCTATAACAGAGGTAGAAAAATGTTTTAGCTTGTCACAAAGCATTCCTTCTCTTACTCCTTCCTCCCTTTCCTTTTTCTCATCTTCTGTCCTCTTCACTCAAGTTTTATTTATCTGAAGAAGCCCCAAAGCCCCACTGGTGCAGAGGAGTAAAACTGCTGTTGCTTTGTTTCGCAGTCTGGCCTCACACCAATACATGTGGCTGCCTTCATGGGCCACTTGAACATTGTCCTCCTTCTGCTGCAGAACGGAGCCTCTCCAGATGTCACTAACATTGTGAGTATGGCTTGGGTCAGAATAACCCCAGGGAGGAAGAGCGAGAGGAAGAGAGAGTGTGGGTGTATGTACCTGTGTTTGCGTGTGTGTCATCAAAGTAAGCAAACAAGCTTTGAGAAGGGCCCTTGTAATAACATATTGTTGGAATAATTGATAGAAGTTCGCTGAAAAGAACCTGGATAGGGTAAGAGGTGTTATAAAGTAAAATGGAAGCAATGAAGTAAGACAACTTAAGATTCTGGGTGTAGTAGGTGGATTGAAAAAGCATCTTAAATGCATTTTTTTAAAAACAAAATACATTTTAAAAGCTCCTCTGAAAGTGAATGGATAATTGGTTGGAATAGAATCTTCAAGGCTTACTCTAGTTGCTTGAGGGAATTGTATTCTAGTAATTTTCATGAAAACATCGGATCAGTACCATAATCAATCTTAACAAAAGATTAACCAGAGATAGATCAGTATCAGGGACTTTTACTTGGTATCAAATTCTTCCTTCTTCAATTACATGGATTTCCCATTTCTTAACATTACTTCGATTTTTACTTCTGATTTGATCTGGTTTGCTATAGTGGAGGCTTTTTTTACCTGAAAGTTATACCACGTATCCTAGACTGAATGTTGGTCTTCAGACCAGTTTCATTCAGTCAACAAATACTGAATATCTCAGAATTTTTCTACATAATCTAAATTAGAATTTTCACTTCTAATCTCTTTACATTTCTCTCATTTTCTTGGATTTTGTCCCTTTAAATTTTGGTCATTGTGACATGACAAATTATCAAATGCAGATTTTCTCCTGAGCAAGAGAACTACTCTGCACAAGGTGCAGGCATGTATTTGAAGTTCAAGAAGGGCAGTAGGGTATTGAGATTCACATGTGCAACAGAAATAACTCCCTCCAAACAAATGTTAGTGCTTATTATAAAAATGAGTTATGTTTTCAGAAGCAATTGATTAGCACTTGTTGCTAATTATTGGTATCTCATTCCATTTAAGTTGTGAAAAGAATGTCCAATTTCACTTTTTATTTGTTTTCTCCCTCATATTTCTGTTTCTCTGTATTTCACACACTATTTCCACAGCGAAGTTTCTGATGGGAAAATCAATTTTGAGAATTAATTTAATTGATTTAAAAATCATTTAATATTCTCTCTTCATATTATTCAGCAATCAGAGCATAAAATAATTGAATAATTTAAAGTCTGTATTTGTAAGTTTTCTTAATTATAGCTTATTGGTCCTAAGATCATAATGTTATATGCTAATCTTTATTTACTCCATTAGGCATAAGAGTTAATTTCACAAAAAAATGTGCTAATGTAAGTTTAATTTCTAGTCACTTCTTAGAACTTTAAAAGTAATCATCATCCCCTCCCTTTTTTTTTTTTTTGAGATGACCACCCTCCTTTCTTAAAAAAATTGAGAACTGAACAGACTTACATACAGGCCAGTAACATTAAAACCAAAACAAAAAACAACAAACAAACAACCAAAAACCTCTGTGTTCTTGCCTGCCTTTTCCTTTTTTTTTCTCCACCTTTTCTTATTTGCATTCCAATGCCTATAGGATCACAGGAGCAATGGTGACATTATGTTACAATATGTTATTACGTCATAAGGATAACATGTACAAGAATATTCTGTGGATTGCTTGATTGCAATCCCCTAAATTAATCTCTTTCAGGAGAGATTTTTACAAAATCTTCAAAAACTAATCCATATAAAATGGTTGTGGGAATTGTGGCCACTCTTACTTTGCCTCTTTACTAACCAATTCCAAATCTTCTGATGATTATGGAATTGTAATATATTCCCTTCTATTTAAAAAAAGTTATGTAGAATACATGTATATTTTCAAATAAAAATGAAATATTAATTGAAACAACAATTTTGACATGTTTTTCAACTTGTTGAAGACTCTCAAATTTGACAATTGCTATATTAAACTTTAGCTTTCAACTGTTGGTCATTTAAAATTCTTCATTTTACCTATTCATTTGTCCATTATATTATCTTTCCACCCAGGTCTCTCAAAAGAAATTCTTGAGAGGGACATGCCAATATAATCTCTGTGTTTTCTAGTTATTTTTTTGTAAGATACATCCTTCAGGAAGCAGATACCATATTGATAGGGTTGCCAGGTAAAATATAGGACTCTCAGTTAAATTTAAATTTCAGATAAACAATAAATTTTTGCATATGATCCATGTGATAGTTAAGATATACTAAAATAATTATTTGTTGTTTGTCTGGAATTAAAATTTAACTGGCTTTTACTTTTAATTTCTAAATCTGGCAATCCTACATTTAGAGGAATTTAACTTTCTCTAGGAGTGGGATGCCTGTGAAGTTGTGTTTTCTCAGAACATGAGGATATAGCTACTGGATCCAAAATTCTTTGCAAGTTGATTAAGAAACTGTGTGAACACTGACTGCCTGCTTGCTGTGTCAGAGTTGGCCACTTCCTGACCCTAAAATACCCCACCCTTGGAGCCTTTGTGTGTTGCCTGAAATCATGTTGCATTTTTGAATGCAATGTTGTTTGTTGTGCTTTGATGCTTTTCAACTTGATGTGCCCAAAGTGGAAGTCAATGTAGCCTGTCAGCAGAGTCAGTTTTAATAACTGAGAAGAGTGGCATGAAATTTAGTACCTGCTTTGGACATGAGTGTACCCATTCTCTTGCTAGTTTTGTTTTTGTCTGAAAATTCACTCCAATTTTGAGGTTTTTGAGGTTTACCAGTAACTCAGTCATGTACAGACTTTTTTTTTTTTACTGAAAAATCTCCTTTTCCAGAAGGAGATTTTCCAATAAAAAAAAATTAATATACTTTGAAAATTAATCTTTGAAAACTAATTTCAAAGATTAATACACTTTGAAACCTAGAATGCTGAATTGCCAATTACAACACATCCATAGTCCAAAGTATTTATCGACAACCATAGTAATAGAAAACTAAGTATTTTAACAACTTTCGAGAATAGAATGCAAAGTCTTACAAAGTTTTATGTTCCTTCCTATAACAAATCAATGGACTAACGATAAAGTTCACACATTGTATTATGCTTAAAAATTTCCCCCAATCCTTAAATTTCACTGGCTTCAAATAAGGAAGACAAGGCTATTAAAAAGGGGTGCCTGACAATCAAAAAATGGAAGATATTTATTAAAAATATATATCCTGGCCTTCATTTTCTTATTTATTCTTATATTAAACAATGGTAATATTAATACAATTCTTATTATTCTTATATATAAACAATGATAATATTTATACAAAAGACAAAGGGCAATTTACAGTAAAAATCCATTATGCCAGAGGCATTAGATAAGAATTAAACAAGACCATTATTATAAAGTGGAGAGACCATATATATGTTTATACATAATCTTTGTTCGAATATAAGCTTTAGTCCTTTAGATTAGATTTTATATCTAATCAGTTTCAAGTATATAAAACCCATAAAAAATAACAAGTATAAAATAAGGGTTTTAGAAATATTGACCAGTACTGTAAACCTGGCTTAAAAAATAAACATGAAGGCTGGGTGTGGTGGTGGATGCCTGTAATCCCAGCTACTTGGAAGGCTGAGGCAGAAGAATCATTTGAACCCAGAAGGCGGAATTTGCACTGAGCCAAGATTGTGCCACTGCGCTCCAGCCTGGAGGACAGAGCGAGACTTTGTTTCTAACTAAATAAATAATAAACATGAAAATTTGTCTTTGAATAGGAATTCCTGGGACCTCTTTGACTTCATTTCTTATAAGGAAATTTATTCTTATCTTCATTTCATTTATTCTTATCTTCAAAGTGCTGGGATTACAGGCTTGAGCCACTGTACCTCATCTTGTTTTGTTTTGTTTGAATACCATTGGTCCTCTGTATCAGTAGCTTCTGTATCTGTGGGCTCTACATCCATGGATTTAGTCAATCTTGGATTGAAAATATTTGAAAAAAATCAAAATAAAAAAATACAATTAAAAAGTAAAACGAGTTTTAAAATTATGCAGTATCACAACTATATAGCATTAATATTATGTTAGGTATTATAAGTAAGGTAGAGCTGAATTATAAAGGATTGTGTGCATAGATTATGTGCAAATACTACATCATTTCATATAAAGAACTTGAGCATCCATGTATTTTGGTATCAGTGGGGGAAACGGGGAGCCTGGAACCAATCCTTCACCAATACAGAGGGACAACTGTAGTTAGAAGATCTTAGCCTCATCTATTCAGAGACAGGTTTAAAATGACATAGAAAACAAGTTAGAAATCATGGTTGTCCATGGAGGAAAAATCTTGCCATACATCTAAAGTCTGAAGATAAAAGCATTCCAATAATATGTCATTTTATAAAACAACATACTCCAGATACATTAACTTTACAAAAGTCTGAATCAGTCATCAGAAAATAAGCTTCTTAGAGGATAAATGAGTCATCAACAAAGAAGAGAATATTAGAGTAGATATTCAACTGAGTGCTTTCACAATCAAATCATTTGACATGAATTTCTCATAACTTCAAAAGAAATGGGTCTCTAAAATACTGAGAAAAAGTTAACTGTGAACTATATGCCAAATTAAAGTTCAGCTCAAAGTTTCTAGATTTAAGGGGTTGTTGTACAAGGAATCAGAAGAAATTATTCACTGCAGTTTGTCAGATATATCCAATTACCACAACCAACTTTAAAATCAATTTGGTTTATTTGGAATGGTTTACTTTACTTGGGTGAAATCAGCCTTTTTCTAGGTTGAAATCAGCCTATTTTCTAGAACAGTTGTGGTAAATCAATCTGTAATAATTTTTATTCCAATATCTTATTTTGTTATAACCATAAAATACTTGAATGAATGAAACCCTGCCTTCTCTAGAACTACATATAGTTTTAAAATATGCCGATTTTTAAAAACCTTTCTCTTAGAGACAGTAGAGTAATAACCGGCTTCTTGATGAGAAAGTTCTCTTAATCTAACCCTCGTTCTTCATGCTGCGCCTAAAGCTACCCTTTCCTGACAGTGTGTCATATTTTGGTGTAGAACAAAGATACTTAAGGAATGATGAGTGGCCTACCTCAATAGGTGACACTGCTGACAGTCACTTTATTCATCTTTCAGTGGCTCTCTCCAATAACTGTCTATAATTAAATATGTTCATTAATCTTAAATAACGGACCTCCTGGGCAAATCAAATTTCTTGTCTGAACAGTTTTTGTCTAGTCTCATAACACAAAGAAAAATCAGATATAAAGTAATAGTTTATTTCAGAAATAAATTTTGAATCTTGAAAAGAAATGATTTATTTATGGTACAAGTGGTGTTAATTTTTTGCAATGTGTTGATCTTCAGCACCTAGAGTTTCTCACTGAAATAGATTCAAGTTGTGATCACGTAGTTAAGTGAGACAATGGCAAATTTTAGGTTTGTAGGGTAAAGATAACTTTATCACCAAAATCAATTTAAAGTGATGTTTGGCTGATTGTGAAGTTAAACCTCAGAGTATCCTGGATGTTTGGGGAAATTCACTAGTTTGTCATGGACTTAAAAAAAATAAAATAAACATTTGTTTTATCCTTATAAAAATGGAAAAGAAAAATACAAAAATTAGCTGGGCGAGGTGGCATGTGCCTCCCAAGTAGTCCCAGCTACTTGGGAGGCTGAGGCAGGACAATCACTCGAACCCCGGAGGTGGAGGTTGCAGGGAACCGTGATGGCGCCATTGCACTCCAGCCTGGGCAACAAGAGTGAAACTCCGTCTCAGGAAACAAAACAAAACAAACAAACAAAAAACAAAGAGAAAAAACGAAGCTATATTTCCCTGACTAAATAATTATGCCTTTTCATAGGTTTCTTAAATCATTGGATATATTGCTGAACTTCACAAAAAGGGACAGCTTTATTCTTTACCATCCAGAGCAGTGGGTTAATTTGTGATTTAACGATCTTTGTTCCCTGGCAGCGTGGCGAGACAGCACTACACATGGCAGCCCGAGCCGGGCAGGTGGAAGTGGTCCGATGCCTCCTGAGAAATGGTGCCCTTGTTGATGCCAGAGCCAGGGTAGGTGCTAGTGCTCTGAGGTTCTCTTCTATCGCAGTTTGTGAGTCTCATCCTTAAGAGAGGGGGTTGCCCCTTCAGTTCTTTGATTTGGAAATACCATGGACTGTAAGTGAAAGGATCAATTCAATAGCAGTTTTCCAGGAAAAAAAGAAACATAAGCAAATACACACAATGAAAAATGTACCCCAATTTCAGAAACATTAGCATTTTAAAAAATGTACAACTTATCCTCTAACAAATATGGCATTGATTAATATTTTAATACTTTTTTTAATCTCAGAAAGCACTTTCTCATATCTCTTTATTTTCATGAATTTTAAGTTTAACCTATAGTATTTAGATGCGATACATATTAAAATTTATTTCTTACCACCTAAACCAATCACATTTCCACCGTCATCCCTTACCAGTTACATAAAAGCAAGTTATTCTCAAAGTTTTAATATTTCCCTTCATCTGGCTGATTTCCCTCCTTTTTATGATATTTACTTTTCTTCTTGCTCTGATTTTACATATTTAGACATTCTGTATTTCCACTATTCCAATATAGAATTTGGGCACTAAAGATTGCTTGATCAGACTTGTCCTGTTTTTAATAGCTTCTAATTCCCTCAAGAGTTGCTTTTTCCTTCATTTTCTTTTTCTAAAATTTTACTTCCCAACTTATTTTGTCACCCCCCTTTATACTGAATATACCAGAATACACTGAATACACTATCAGTATACTTTGTCTTCTATTTCCTTTTCCATGTTGTTTGGTTAACTTTTGTACTGACATCATTGAGATTCTCATGTTAAATAGTTTCCGTCCTTCTTCAATATTTGACATACCTGAGTTAGAACTCATTTCAGTTTGAGTTGTACCATTATAGCTCCATTTTAAATACAGTGTTATATTGGAATGAAGGCATCTGGCTATGGTCATCTAAATTGTAAGTGATTTCAGGCAAGTCACTTCACTTCTAAGTCTTTTTTTTATTATACTTTAAGTTCTGGGATACATGTGCAGAATGTGCAGGTTTGTTACATAGGTATACAACTGCCATGGTGGTTTGCTGCACACATCAACCCATCATCTACATTAGGTATTGCTCCTAATGCTACCTCTTCTACCTCCCCACCCCTTGATAGGCCTCAGTGTGTGATAATCCCCTCCCTGTGTCCATGTGTTCTCATTGATAAGTTCCCACTTATGAGTGAGAACATGTGGTGTTTGGTTTTCTGTTCCTGTGTTAGTTTGCTGAGAATGATGGTTTCCAGTTTCATCCATGTTCCTGCAAAGAACATGAACTCATCCCTTTTTATGGCTGCAGGGTATTCCATGGGGTATGTGTGCCACATTTTCCTTATCCAGTCTATCATTGATGGGCATTTGTGTTGGTTCCAAGTCTTTGCTATTGTGAACAGTGCTGCAATAAACATATGGAAGCATTTCCTTTTCTTCACATCCTCTTCAGCATCTGTTGTTTCCTGACTTTTTAATGATTGACATTCTAAATGCCATAAGATAGTATCTCATTGTGGTTTTGATTTGCATTTCTCTAATGGCAAGTGATGATGAGCTTTTTTTCATGTTTGTTAGCCACATAAATGTCTTCTTTTGAGGAGTGTCTGTTCATATCCTTCTCCCACTTTTTGAAGGAGTTATTTTGTTTTTTTCTTGTAAATTTGTTTAAGTTCCTTACAGATTCTGGATATTAGCCCTTTGTCAGATGAATAGATTGCAAAAATTTTCTCCCATTCTGTAGGTTGCTTATTCACTCTGATATAGTTTCTTTTGCTGTGCAGAAGCTCTTCAGTTTAATTAGATTCCATTTATCAATTTTGGCTTTTGTTGCCATTGCTTTTGGTGTTTTAGTAATGAAAACACCAAGTTTTAGTCTTTGCCCATACCTATGTCCTGAATGGTATTGCCTAGGTTTACCTCTAGGGTTTTTATGGTTTTAGGTCTTACATTTAAGTCTTTAATCCATCTTGAGTTAATTTTCATATAAGGTGTAAGGAAGGGGTTCAGTTTCAGTTTTCTGCATATGGCTAGTCAGTTTTCCCAATACAATTTATTAAATAGGGAATCTTCTCACCACTGCTTGTTTTTGTCAGGGTTGTCAAAGATCAGATGGTTGTAGATGTGTGGCATTATTTCTGAGGCCTCTTTTCTGTTTCATTGGTCTATATATATGTTTTGGTACCATGGCTACAGTACCATGCTCTTTTGGTTACTGTAGCCTTGTAGTGTAGTTTGAAGTGAGTAGTGTGATGCCTCCAGCTTTGTTCTTTTTGCTTAGGATTGTCTTGGCTATATGGCTCTTTTTTGAGTCCATATAAAATTTAAAGTAGTTTTTTTCTAATTCTGTGAAGAAAGTCAGTGGTAGCTTGATGGGGATAACATCAAATTTATAAATTACTTGGGGCAGTATGGCCATTTTCACGACATTAATTCTTCCTATCCATGAGCATGGAATGTTTTTCCATTTTTTGTGTGTTGTCTCGTATTTCATTGAGCAGTGGTTCATAGTGCTCCTTGAAGAGGTCTTTCATATCCCTTATAAGTTGTATTTGTAGGTATTTTGTTCTCTTTGTAGCAATTGTGAATGGAGGTTCACTCATGATTTGGCTCTCTATTATTGGTATATAGGAATGTTTGTGGTTTTTGCACATTGATTTTGTATCCTGAGACTTTGCTGAAGTTGCTTATCCGCTTACAGAGATTTTGGGCTGAGATGATGAGGTTTTCTGAATACACAATCATGTTATTGCAAACAGAGAAAATTCGACTTTCTTTCTTCCTATTCAAATACCCTTTATTTCTTCCTTTCTTCCTTTTTCCCTTCTTTCCTTCTTTCCCCTTCTTTCCTTCTTCCCCCTTATTTTTCCTTCTTTCTTTTCCTTCCTTCCTTCCTTCCTTCCTTCCTTCCTTCCTTCCTTTCTTCTCTCCTTCCTTCCTTCCCTCCCTCCCTCCTTTCTTCCTTCTTTCCCTCCTTCCTTCCTTTTCTTTCTTCTTTTTCTGTCTTGCCTGATTGCCCTTGCCAGAACTTCCAATACTATGTTGAATAGGAGTGGCAAGAGAGGGCATCCTTGTCTTGTGCCAGTTTTCAAAGAGAATGCTTCCAGCTTTTGCCCATTCAGTATGATATTGGCAATGGGTTTGTCACAAATAGCTCTTGTTATTTTGAGATATGTTCCATCAATACCTAGTTTATTGAGAGTTTTTAGCATGAAAGGGTGTTGAATTTTATTGAAGGCCTTTTCTGCATCTGTCGAGATAATCATGTGGTTTTTGTCATTGATTCTGTTTATGTGATGGATTGTGTTTATTGATTTGCATATATTGAACTAGCCTTGCATCCCAGGGATGAAGGTGACTGGATTGTGGTAGATAAGCTTTTTGATGTGCTGCTGGATTCAGTTTGTCAGTATTTTATTGAGGATTTTCGCATCGATGCTCATCAGGGATATTAGCCTGAAATCTTTTTTTATGTGTCTCTGCCGGGTTTTGATATCAGGATGATGTTGGCCTCATAAAATGAGTTAGGGAAGAATCCCTCTTTTTCTATTGTTTGGAATAGTTTCAGAAGGAAGCTCTCAGTTACTCTTTGTACCTCTGGTAGAATTTGGCTGTGAATTTGCCTGGTTTCTATGAATCTTGTTGATCTGTCTAATATTGACAGTGGGGTGTTACAGTTTCCCAGTATTGTTGTATGGGAGTCTAAGTCTCTTAGTAGTCTCTAAGAACTTACTTTATGAATCTGGATGCTCCTGTATTGGGTGCATATGTATTTAGAATAGTTAGTTCTTTTTGTTGCATTAATCCCTTTACCGTTATGTAATGCCCTTCTTTGTCTTTTTTTGATCTTTGTTTGTTTGAAGTCTGTTTTATCAGAGAGTAGGATTGCAATCCCTGCTTATTTATTTATTTTTTTTTTGGCTTTCCATTTGCTTGGTAAATATTCCTTCATCCTTTTATTTTGAGCCTATGTGTGTCTTTGCACATGAGATGGGTCTCCTGAATACAGCACACCAATGTGTCTTGACTCTTTCTCCAATTTGCCAGTCTGTGTCTTTTCATTGGGGCATTTAACCCATTTACGTTTAAGGTTAATACTGTTATGCATGAATTTGATCCTGTCATTATGATGCTATGTGGTTACTTTGCCCTTTAGTTGATGCAGTTTCTTCAGAGTGTCAATGGTCTTTATAATTTGGTATGTTTTTGCAGTGGCTGGTACCAGCTTTTCCTTTGCATATTTAATGGTTTCTTCAGGAGCTCTTATAAGGCAGGTCCAGTGGTGACAAAAATCTCTTAGCATTTGCTTGTCTGTAAAGGATTTTATTTCTCCTTCACTTATGAAGCTCAGTTTGGCTGGTTATGAAATTCTGGGTTGAAAATTATTTTCTTTAAGAATGTTGAATATTGGTCCCCACTCTCTTCTGGCTTATAGGGTTTCTGCAGAGAGATCTGCTGTTGGTCTGATGGGCTTCCCTTTGTGAGTAACCTGACCTTTCTCTTTGGCTGTCTTTAACATTTTTTCCTTCATTTCAACCTTGGTTGGATGAAATGATGAACCTGATGATTATGTGTCTTGGGGTTGCTCTTCTTGAGGAATATCTTTGTGGTATTCTCTGTGATTCCTGAATTTGAGTGCTGGCCTGTCTTGCTAGGTTGAGGAAGTTCTCCTGGATAATATCCTGAACAGTATTTTCCAACTTGGTTCCATTCTCTCCGTCACTTTCAGGTACATCAATCAAACATAGATTTGGTCTTTTCAGATAGTCTCATACTTCTTGGAGGCTTTGTTCATTCCTTTTCATTTTTTTTTCTCTCATCTTGTCTTCACGCTTTATTCATTAAGCTCATCTTTGCTCTCTGATATACTTTCTTCCACTTGATTGATTAGGCTATTGGTATTTGTGTATGTTTCACAAAGTTCTCATGCTTTGTTTTTCAGCTCCATCAGGCCATTTATTTTCTACTCTACACTGGTTACTCTAGTTAGCAATTC